TATCTATGGGAGTCTTATCTTTTATCTTCGAATAAAGATTATTAATTGTTAGGGCTGATCTACAAGCCACATTAAGTTTAATGTTATTATTATTATTAGAAAAGCTATTTTCAAAACTTTTTAGAATCCTTGTTAACCCCGGAGTGATATCTCTGAAATAGGGTAATGAAAAATATTTATTGATCGGAGTATCCGAGACTGGATTCCTACTTAAGACATCAGGATCAGCATTGTTAGTCACGATGGAAGGTGACGTATCTTCGTTATGGATAGTGTTAAACAAAATCTTATTTACTAATGGTGTTGGATAAGAATTTGAAATAAAAAGTTTCAGAAGGATTTGTAGGTTTTTTGTATGAAATGATGGATCTGATAGTTTAATTACTCTATTTTTCATCTGTTTGATTAAGTTGACTTTGGTAGAGTTATTATGGTAAGAGTGGTAGTTAAGGTATCTACCAGAATGTGTCGGTTTTTGATACCAATCTATTTTAATGTTGTTGATTTCCCTAATCATCCTTATGTCGAGAAAGGGGACGGAACAATTACCATCTTCCCTCTCTATAGTGAACTGGATGTAGGGGTCATAACTATTAAAGGTGTCTAATAGTTCATCTACCTTGTCATTGGGTATAACCAAAATTATATCATCAACATATTTTTTAATAAATGGAATTTGAAAGGATAGTAAAGGAATGACTGAGTCTAACACATAATCCATAACGTAAGTTGCAATGATAGGAGAAATCTTTGCTCCCATAGGGGTACCGAAAGTTTGTTGATAGAATTTACCATTAAAAGAGAAGTAAGTGTTATTAAAGAGAAATTCGACGATACTGATGAATCTGTCATAAGACATGGAACAACAACCTCTAATACGGTCCCAGTTGATCTCTATTGATATCAAACATATTCCTAAATGAACGTTGCTGAACAAGGATACAACGTCAAGGCTAACGAGGACATAATTAGATGGTAATATGTAACCATTATATTTATTTACCATCTCAAAAGAATCTTTGATGTAATATTGAATTTCATAATTATATGCATTAGTAAGTATGTCTGTAACAAAAGCTGAGATATTTTCAGTTGGAGTTCCAATGGAAGCTACTATGGGACGAACGGATAGTGTTGGTTTATGGATTTTTGGTAAAGCATAAAACTTTGCAATATTCCCATTGTATGTTGTTAGTTTTTTCTTTGTGTTACGGTCAATCTCATTAGAAGAGGCTAAGGATGCGATTAATGTATTGCATTTCCTTTGTAGATAAGAAGTGGGATTGGATGTAAGTGACATTTCACTTGAGGGCTCTACAGAGGCAAAGCCTCTTGAGGCTTTTAACGACGCTAGAAGTACATTTTTACTTCGACATGCATCTACGATTCACCTTTGCAATTTACCATCTTTTTTCGCTCTTTACGTAGAGAAAGACGTTTAAATGAAAGTAAAAGATTGCATTTCATTTCAATCGGAACTCCACCATAGCCCGACAGGTGTTTCGGGTTATTCAACCCATCGTCAGGAGCTCTTGTGGAGGTTCAACTGAAATGAAATGCAGTCTAGTATTTGGCTATTATAACTAAAATAACAGCCAGGGTACGCTAGCAGCGACATCTATATGAAATAACAAGAAGTCGAGAGACCTCTCTGATAGCAAATTTGCGGTTCACCTAATTCTTGTTTCTGTTTCTTCTATCTGCATAACTCTTGTTTTGTTAATATTTATCTTCATTCCGTTTTCAGTGAGTACTTCTTTCCATATTTTCAAATTATTCTGAAGATATTTTTCAGTTTTTGCAATTAGCACCAAATCGTCAGCAAACACTGTTTCCGAAATTTCTACTCTTTGCCGATTTCTAAACCCTACATTCAGTTTTTTACTGATAAGCGATACTCCCTGTTTTAAGCCTGCATTTATTGTAAACGTATCTAACATTGTATTATTACTATTTACTGCATTGTTGTTCTCCTTGTATATTTTTTTTATCATTCTTAGTAACTTGATATCCATTCCGTTTTCACTTAGTATTTTCCATAGTTTATGTCTTGATACTCGAAGACCTTTTCTATGCAAAGGAATACTACGTATATTTTCTTTTTATCTTGCAGTGTTTTTGTGTTATCTGTTTTAAAGTAAATATGATCCTATATATTTCGACCACTTCTAAATCCACTTTATTCTTCGTCTGTGTTTTCTGTAATTGTTCTTAATCGTTTGTTTGTTATTTTTTCTAAGAGTTTTCCATGTACATAGCAACGTCAATCACCTGTAGTTATTACATTTTGTCCTATCTCATTTTTAGTATATGGGTACTATTAGTGAAATTTCCAATCTTTCGATATATCTTAATTTTTCCATATTTTATTAATTATTATTAGTAATATTTGTTCTTCATTTTTAACCATGTTTTTTATAATTTCTGTTGTTATTCTATCCACTTCAGGAGCTTTTCCATACTTCAACGTTTTTACTGCTTCTTCTAGTTCTTCCTCGTTTATTTAAATTTCTGTGTTATCTTCCAATATATTAGTTTATTCTCGTTGTACTTCTCATTTGTTTTGTCTTTCAAATATTGTTTCCATGCATTTTTCTTCACTTTTACTTGCTTTTTTATTTCTTCAGATCACCATGCTGTCTGTTTCTTTGTTGAGTTTTTTATATTATTATTGTTATAGGTTGTTTATATAATTTATTCCTTAACTTACACGTTTTTATCGTCTTTTTTATAATTGGTTTTTCCTTTTATGTGCTAGTCTTATTCTTCTTTTTTTATTTCTTCTCGTATCTTTGTTACTATCATGTAATAGTCGCTACCTATGTCGGGTCCTCTGTGTACTTTTCAACTAGTATATAGTAAATTATGAATTTTTCGACTTTTGACTTCTCGAGCATACATGTGGATTTACTTGTGTTTAAAAAATGTATTACCTATTGTTATATTGTTTAAAGTGCAAAATTGTAGCAGCTTCTGCCATTGTGATTTCTGGTTATTTTTTCATATGATCCTATAAGTCTAGTGTATTATATTTCGTCTTTTATTCCTACCCTACTGTTTGAATTCCCTGCAATGTATATTTCTCCTCTTGCGGCTCTGTTGCAAACGTTAACTCTTCCCAAAATTTATCTTTGCTTTGTGCGTTATCATGTTCGTTTGGTCCATATACTACTTTAATAGTTTTATTACGGCTACATTATCATTCATTTCTATTAGTAATATTCTCTCTGACCATGCTTTCCAGAAGTATATCTGTTTTTCCAGTGTTATGTATTATACATCGTACAACTGCAGCTGCTCTTTTATCATCTGATACTTCGCTATATATTAAAGTATTATTATTTTCAATTTTTGCTACTCCTTGTTCTTTTTTATTGGTCTCTGATATCGCTAGTATACCTAATTCTTCAGCCTCAAAGTCCTCGACTAGTTATATTTCTTTACCATTTTGATCTTTATGTTCCAAGCTCCAATTTTCTAAATCCTACGCTCATTTTTTTTTCGTGCTTAATGAGTCTATGTGATTTTCGTTGTCTGATTTAATTTATTCATGTCCGTTGTCATTACCAGAGTTTTGTCAGTTTTTCCTTTATCATATTCCTTATTTTTTGCCACGAATTATCTCCCATTTCCGATTTATGTTCCTTCTCCGTTACTCCCCGTTTTTCTGCATCCCAATATTTTTAAAAAATACCTTTATTTTCTCATCTCCGTTCCCCTCTGTCTACTATCATATTTTTAAAACCTACTTTTACCTTTTTACCATTTTTCCTGAGTTCTTTACATTTTTCGGATATGTCTTTTCTAATTTCTTTTTCGTTGGTTGTTAAATCCTCATTTATGAATACCTTTTCACCTATTAGCTTTTTCTGATGACTCTTTTTTTGCATAATTCTATTTTTTTTTTTTTCACGTGTTCTTTTATTTGTAGCAAACAAGTTTTCTGCCCTAGGTTTGTTGCTCTTTCTGTATGTACTTCTTCCCTTTAGGTGTACTAAAAAAAGATGAATGAAATTTGTCATATCTTCTTTTATTTTCTCTTCATCTGTATCAATATTTAATCCAGTTACTACAATATTGTTTCTTTTCGATTCATTTTCGATCGTTTCTAATCTATTTTACACCTCATTTAGACGTTGCTTGGATTTTCTAATTCCTCATTTATTTTCAACTCTGAATTTTGGGGATCGTATTGTTTCCTTACTCTTCGTAAAAGATAGAATTCCTTTCTTTCCTTTTTCGATAATCTGAAGTATTCTCGTCTGTTTCCACCTTTTGCGAGCGGTAGGACTACGGAAGGAGTTATTTCCACTTAAACGGTTCAGATAAATCACTCCTATCAATCCTGTATTTTCAATAGTTTCATTTGATGGGTTTATATTAATTATAGGTTAATATTTATTTTTGTTTTAATTTATTCTATTTTATCTCACTTTCTGTAGACATAGGCAAATTCGTAATAGTTTTTGACGCAGTTTCGTTTGCCGAAGGTGAAGTGAGATATGCACCTTATGTTTATAACCTATATTTTTGTCCTTTTTTTAATGGAATTCTCCAATTTCAGAATTCACTGTCTCCACACCATCATTGTTGTCTATTCAACTTATCTATCACATCTGCCGAATTATTTCCCGTTATAAGACTTCGTTTTTGGAGGTGTTTGTAGACGGGAAACAAAACTTAGTTTTTTTCACCAACGCAAGGTTGCATCAGACAATAAGCAAAAAAATCCTTGTTCGGGACTGTGACAAATCAAGCTATCTATTTTTTAGTTGATATAGGCCTATATAAAGAGATTTCGGCGTCTTTTTTTAATTATTAACAATTTAGTGTAGAAAAATGCAATTTTTTCGATTTTTTGTCACCATTAAAAAGCTTAATATTTGAGGTAAAATTTATACTTTAAAACGTAAAGAAAACTTTAAAATGGCGGTTGTTAAAAGTTGTAGAATTAATTTGTGGTTTCGAAAACTGCAAAATAAATTTTTTTTTTGTTTCAGTGTAAATGGTCACGCAAAGGATTCATGCGGACGAGATGGTCGCTTAATAATACTGTCGTGGATATGGTGAATATCCATTTATTTCACGACGCCTCGAATTTTATAGCGATGGAATCGTATCCATCTGTTTATTGTAAAAACAGACGTAGGGCATTAGAGCATACGCTAGAAAGGTTTCATAATGACCAGTATGACAATGCTCCGTACTTTTTATTCGGCGATTTTAATTTTAGGACTGATACAGACGGCGTTGTTAAAGTAAGTTTATTTCTATTTTTTTTTTATTTAATAAATACTAGTAAGATACATATGGTCATTACAATCTGATCAATCAATCAATCCGATCAATCAATGAGCAACTTTTTTAACCTAAATTCTTACTAAAAGCTTAAGCGTAAGGAAAAACTCACTAAATAGTATCCCTTAAGCTCTATTAATTTATGATACAAATGTTAACGTGTACCATCACTTCCACTATACTCTGCTTTTCACTTAACTAATTTGAAGTACTTCTTCGTTTTGTGTGTCTACACATGTGTCAATGGTCTTTTGTCCATATAGGTTTTAATATCTTTTTATAAAAAAGCATACTCTTTTAGATTGACGGGGTCTTCCGAATAACCAATACATTTTTTTTATACCTGATGCTAAGCTCTTCTCTTATAGCTTCGAAATTACTGGTAGTACGGAAATCTAGATGAATATATCTAGGTCTAGAAAAATAGATGCTTTACTAGGATTGACATTTTCTTTTTCGTGAGCCACTTCCTTTGGAGTGACTTCTTGAATTTCACCTTCTTCCTGTAAGACGTTTTCCCAGACAAGTGTGTTATCACCTTCATTTGACTATAATGTTTTTTTCTATTTATTCGACAAAATTAACCTCCTCTAGATTACTTTTTGCTTAACGTCTATCTGAATTAATGTCTAAATGAAAGATTTTGGATTTTTTGTACACAGAAAAATGATTTTCGCACTGAAGATTTTCCTCCCTTTTATATTCCTATATGACTTGAAAGTTGGATTGAAATTAAACATTCAAACTATAAGCTTTCGCAACATGGATATTTCGTCAACTGCTAAACGTATTATGCACGGTTAAAAAAAATAAAGTACGGAATAAATGAATAAAATAATAGTTTATTATTATTGGAAACTGACGGGAGTGACATAAACCTAGAAGAGTGGTCTCAAAACGTCTTGGCGAGATACCGGAAATAATAATTTATGCTGTCAGAAAAGTTTTACTTTTCAATATTACTTTTCAATATAACCTCCCATAATATCAATAAATCTTATATGAGTATAAAACATTGAAAACTTTAATTTTAAACACTTCCACAAAATTCATTATAATTTACTATCACTACAGCTGTTTTGACAGAAGCTACCTTTATTAGAATCTAAGGAAATTAACAAATTCAAAAATACAGATATAAATCTGAATGACCAACTTAATACAAACAGCTCTCCTCACCTTAACTTACTCAGTTGAATGCTATAAAGTGTAGAAGCATAACAAAAATGGCTCACTTGAGATAGGCACTCTCCCGAAACAACTGGAGTGATAATAAATTTTGTAGAAATTTGAAAACAATAGTTTTCAGTGTTTTATTTTGAGATTACAATGAATTTTTATTAAGTAACGGTCGAATCCATCACTTATTCAATAAATTTTATTCAGCGATGTTCCATGTCGTTATTTTCTCTATATTGGTGAACAAGAGTACACATCTACAACTCGATTGGACGAAAGCGCTAACTATCGAGGATGGTACTCAGTTTTACTCAGTACTCAGATGGTACTCAGGTACAAAGATTTCTGTTGGAAACCAAAATTCAGATTATTGCCTAAATCTGTGTCTTCTATTTCAAAGCAAACAGACTATGAATGGACCGACATGGGGAGTCTAAACTTGCATTTCACGACATATCGGTTCATCTAGGCAATAACCTTTCGTGAACTAGTTTCTTATACTCAAAATATACGAGTAAGTAAAGATATAACAAAACAGTTAGGATTTGATTTCACGTATTCGCTCCGTGCTTGACCGACGCGACACCTATTACCTTCGTCTGACAGTTTTGGACCTCTCAATTTGAGGTTAAACGTATTTCAAATACATAAGAAATTGACACTTATTAGGGAGTTTTTGTGCAAGCAAATACGTATACGTAACGTATCTTTTTGACATATAAGCATGCGCATTAATGATTGAACCAACGTATCTAGATACGTCTTACCTAACGTAACGGGCTGGTACGTTGCGTTCATACGCATCCCTATCGAGCCGAAAATTACCGAATGCACAAGAGATCTTACCCGATTACCAAAATATCAACATCCACATTTGTGGTTAAGTATATTTGTTTTGATTTTTATAAATAATGGAAAGCAGTAGAAAACGACTTCACTTCAGTAATGAAGATGATGTAATGAATGTTTATGTTTAAGGAAGCCATAAGCCAGAACCCTTGCGATCATCCAGAAAGGTGAAATTTATTCCCAAAGCGAAAAAGATTTTTACATTGTATATCAGACATGGTATGTAAATTAAAGCGGCCGTATAGTCGTGCAAGATGTGGAGAAGAAGCGGATTTTCTATGTCCTCGTCTTCTTCATCATCAATAATGGCACCTACATTTATTATTGCGTCCATCTCCAAAATTAAAAATTGTTTAAAAAATATTTGTTATTTTGAATATCAAAAATGGGGTTAAGTGACAAGTACAAGACAGGCACTGACAACGACAATTTATTAGTTTATCACTAATTCGATGAGGGCAACACCATCGTTACGTTACGTGCAGAACAAAAACTCTCAATTTAACGTTCATCTTCTTCGATACGTTAGTTCTTTACGTATAGAGAGATACGTTACGTTAGGTGGTTACAAAAACTCCCTATTAATTAGTTCTTTAATTATATTTTTTCAATTTATGTACTAAATAAATGTAGTATTAAAAACTGGGTATTATCTTTTCAACCAAAACGGCGAAGAAAGGAAAAATTTAGTACTAGAAAATCAAGTTTTTCATGTGATTAAAAACATGATATTATGACTAAGAAAGTCGTGACGTAATTGGAGAGTTGCACGTTCGTAATGTCAGTTTTTTGTATGTATCAATAAATAATTTTTAATAAATAGTTTGGAGATATCCTTATGTGTACGAAAATTGTAATTATTAAAAAAATTGTTGAATTTTTTTCGTTTTTAAGCTGAGTCTGTTTTTTATGTTCAATTCCAGGTAAAAGACGCGAGCACATTCCTTTTACGGTCATAGGGAATTATCAGTTTCGTGTACTTTTTTGTGTCGTTCTTCCAAAGCAACTTTGTCGATGATTTTCGGTATTATTACAGTTTTTGGGCATTTTTTTTTGTACACAATTCTATGGCCACTTCTTTAGGGTTGCAATTTAGCACGAAGAATGGCCATAGCGTTTACAAGTTGAAAATTAATGCTTACTGCTTACAATAAACTATTGTCTAGATTTACTTTATGTTCATATGGCATTTACTGATACGTATACCAACGTAAGGGAAAAATTACGTGAACAATGCTGCGATCCCTAGGCAATACCGAAAACTTACCAGATAACTTATAAAATCGGTGGAAAACCGGTATTCTTTTTAAACTTATCACTAATCTCTGTTCATGTAATGTACCAAAAAATGAAGAATTAACCAACGTTCTGGGTATAAGTAACCAATATATCTTGTTAAAGTATATTGTGTAAATTTACGCAGATTTCGGATTAAGTGTATAAGCAAAGATTTAACTGATCATCTGTACAAATTATTGTATATAGGTTGTATCTTTTAGCGGGTAACTACTGTAGAAGGTTAGGCTTCTGGGCTCACTTCATCCCATTTAAGTTTTTCGCGCAACCATTTTATCAAGATTTTCGTGTTCGTATTGTCATCATAATCATTGTTTTTTTGATGTAGACGAAAATATTAAGTCAGGACTTTCTATAAAGCTGGTCTTCCCTCCTGCATGCGGAATTGTATGTCGCTTCCATTCACCACCAGTATGCTTGATCGATTTTACTTAGTCATCTTACCATGTTCTCTTGGTTGTACACTTGGAAGTATCCATGTTTCGTCTAATTATATAAAAATCCCTTCTTTAGATTTGGTATATTTTCTGAGAGACTCAAATTTCTTGTGTACAATAGAACTTCTTTAACAAAGCGCTTCTTTTTTAAATTTGAAAACTGTTATGTAGGACTTGCCATAAACTTGTTTTGCCAATGTCATCAAATTCCTTATCTCTTCATTTAAACAAATTTGTATCTAAAATGACATGTTCCTTATTTGCACGCATTTGATATATGGTACTACGAATTTAAAATTTTCGTCCCTTCTATTTTGAGTGTCGGGCGAGTTTTGCGGTGATCGTTTTCCAGGATTTCACTATTTTCATTTGGCATTGTATATCTTATTTTTTTTTCTTAAAGTATTACACACGTTTGTATACTTTTTATAGGACCACAGTTGTTTTTTTTCTCAATAAATTTCTTGTATAGGTTACAAATTAGAGTATGTACATTTAAAACAGATCTTGACATTTTCAGTAAAATATTATTATTATTGCTAATTCACAAAATTAGCAATATTAGGTGTTCAATTTCATTTGACTTAAATCACATATTTTTCGAATGTAGCAAACACATGGGATCGCCCAAAGAGTTATTATCCAAATTGTACAAACTACACATTGCGGGTCCAGTTCATATCTTCTTCACGTGCCATCTCCTCTAAGAAGGTTGGCAACCATTATGGCAATTCGCACTTTCGATGCCGCTGCCCTAAAGAGGTCAGCAGAAGTGCAGTTAAACCAAGCTCTCAAATTATTCAACCAGGAGATGCCACTTCTTCCGCGACTCCTTCTACCCTGTATTCTTCCCTGCATTATTAATTGCAACAAGTTATAACGCTCGCCCCTCATAACATGTCCCAGATATTGCAGTTTTCTGATTTTAACTGTATTTAAGAACTCTTTATCTTTTCCCATTCTTCTCAACACCTCGACATTCGTGACTCTATCTACCCAACTTATTCTTAATATCCTTCTGTAGACCCATAACTCGAAGGCTTTCCATCTGTCCGAAACATCTTTCTTTAAAGTCCAAGCCTCCAACCAATAAAGTAATACGGAGAACACGTAGCGTCTCAGAAGTCTTATCTTTAAAGAAATTGAAATGTCCCTGCTGCAGAGTACTTTTTTCAGTTTGTTGAAAGAATTTCTTGCCT